CCACCACCACCACCACACACACACACACACACACACACACACACTCCATCACTTCTATCCAAAATGTGTGACTCTGGTTGTTTACTGCCTTTACTAACAGTGCTATGTGGATTGCCTGATTCATAAGCTGACTAACATCACTCCACATGTATATGTGCGCATGCACACACATGTACATACACACGTACATACAAACACACACACTGACAGTCTGCAGTCAGCCAATTGCTCAAACACCCCTCCTTTCTCATTTCAGCATCTTACTAAATTAAAAATGAAACATCTTTATTAAAAAAAACTATTATTTACAAGGCATAAGCCCATATAAAGCAATCATTATTTGCCTTCTTCTTGAGATAGGTACTGCTAAGACAGATCAACTCATCTCCAATGGAAACACCTTTAGAAAAACCAGAGTGACAGTAATATTTGATGTAAAACAATCTGACTGTCATTACAAGTTCCTGTAACAAGGTGCTTAAAAATAAAATTCTCAGAAGTGATAACATCTTCAAAAGAAAAGTAAACATAATTCTGTTAAAGAAAACAAACCATATTCCTTAACAATCATCTTGGCTCAAAATACACTAATGTATGCCAAAATGACTTCATGTTACTATTGTGCCTGTGGCAGTCTTCAGCAGAGGATTAATTCTGTTCACAGTATTATTAAACAGCATTGGACTATGGGCCAATGTAGACCCCCACCCCACCCCCTTAGTGATTTTCTTTCACTATGTTTTTCTGATAGCTTAGGTCTTGAGCTTTTATTATCTGCTTGTTTGCCATTAAGACCTAAGCTATCAGAAAAACATAGTGAATGAAAATCACTAAGGGGGGGAGGTTTGGGTATTTGGCCCATGGACTACAAGTACTGGTCAGACTATCAGAGCATATGTTAACGGTCAAGATGTTATTAGTTTGACCAAGGCCAGTGGGCAGCCTGTGTGAAGGAGTACAGCTTGGTGAGTTCTACAGCTGAACTCTATCCAGAACATGATCCATTTCTCAAACATGTCCCAAACAAAGAGCACATGGTCCAGCACATGACTGTTCAGCCAGGCACATGGGCAGCCATGTGTGAGTATACAGTCTACACAATACACCGGCCACTGAGGCTGGCTGAGTACATAGAGGCTGACTGCGTCAATAGTCTGTATGGATATAGGTCTGTAATAACATTACATAACTGACATATGTCATAGCAAAACAATGAAAGCATAACTGACCTATATCATAGCAAATCAATGAACAGCATAACATGCCATGTTAAATATCATCTTATCTTATCTTTCTATAGCATAGCATATAGCATAGCATATATCGTATCATATCATATCATTTCATATATCATATCATATCATACCATATATCATATCATATCATATCATATATCATATCATATCATATCATATCATATCATATCATACCATATATCATATCATATCATATCATATCATATCATATCATATCATATAATTATTATATGATATGATATGATATGATATGATATGATATATAAATTTTTTATATGATATGATATGATATGATATGATATGATATATGGTATTAAATACCATATATCATATCATATCATATCATATCATATCATATCATATCATATCATATCATATCATTTATCACATCAAATAGTTTGGCACATGTGGACACTTTCTACAATTTGTTCTACTTCAAAAAATAAATAATTCAATAAATTATATACTAATACAATAAGAGACCAGAGGTACCTTAGAAATATATGGTCATCCCTAGCTGTCTCCAGGGAGGTCATCAAAATAAAGATATTATACTAATTAAGAGACCAGAGGTACCTTTAGAAATATATGGTCATCCCTAGCTGTCTGCAGGGAGGTCATCAAAATAAAGATTAACTAATACAATAAGAGACCAGAGATACCTTAGAAATATACGGTCATCTTGAGCTATCTACAGGAAGGCCACAAAATAAAGATATTATACTAATACAACACGAGACCAGAGGTACCTTAGATATATATGGTCATCCCGAGCTGTCTGCAGGGAGGCCAGCCACCACGAGGACAACAAGACCACCAGGATGACCGCTGGCTGGACAATAATGACCACTCGGTATGATGGCATACTCTTCATTATCACACTCTCCGTCTGTAAACTCCCTGGTTTGAAATTGTTTTTTTTTTACTGCAAGTTCTAATCCAATATCTCCATGAATATGATACCTTTTTTAAAATTCTGTTCTCAATCCATGAAGGAGGGTTTTAACACACCAGAACAAAAATAAAATGCCACTTCCTGAATATTAAGAGACTTCTTGANATACACACATAGTGACTCTGGTTGTTTACTGCCTTTACTAACAGTGCTATGTGGATTGCCTGATTCATAAGCTGACTAACATCACTCCACATGTATATGTGCGCATGCACACACATGTACATACACACGTACATACAAACACACACACTGACAGTCTGCAGTCAGTCAATTGCTCAAACACCCCTCCTTTCTCATTTCAGCATCTTACTAAATTAAAAATGAAACATTTATATTAAAAAAATATTATTTACAAGGCATGTGCCCATATAAAGCAATCATTATTTGCCTTCTTCTTGAGATAGGTACTGCTAAGTCAGATCAACTCATCTCCAATGGAAACACCTTTAGAAAAAACAGAGTGACAGTAATATTTGCTGTAAAACAATCTGACTGTCATTACAAGTTCCTGTAACAAGGTGCTTAAAAATAAAATTCTCAGAAGTGATAACATCTTCAAAAGAAAAGTAAACATAATTCTGTTAAAGAAAACCAACCATATTCCTTAACAATCATCTTGGCTCAAAATACACTAATGTATGCCAAAATACACTAATGTATGCCAAAATACACTAATGTATGCCAAAATGACTTCATGTTACTATTGTGCCTGTGGCAGTCTTCAGCAGAGGATTAATTCTGTTCACAGTATTATTAAACAGCATTGGACTATGGGCCAATGTAGACCCCCACCCCACCCCATTAGTGATTTTCTTTCACTATGTTTTTCCGATAGCTTAGGTCTTGAGCTTTTATTTTCTGCTTGTTTGCCATTAAGACCTAAGCTATCAGAAAAACATAGTGAATGAAAATCACTAAGGGGGGGAGGTTTGGGTATTTGGCCCATGGACAACAAGTACTGGTCAGACTATCAGAGCATATGTTAACGGTCAAGATGTTATTAGTTTGACCAAGGCCAGTGGGCAGCCTGTGTGAAGGAGTACAGCTTGGTGAGTTCTACAGCTGAACTCTATCCAGAACATGATCCATTTCTCAAACATGTCCCAAACAAAGAGCACATGGTCCAGCACATGACTGTTCAGCCAGGCACATGGGCAGCCATGTGTGAGTATACAGTCTACACAATACACCGGCCACTGAGGCTGGCTGAGTACATAGAGGCTGACTTCGTCAATAGTCTGTGTGGATATAGGTCTGTAATAACATTACATAACTGACATATGTCATAGCAAAACAATGAAAGCATAACTGACCTATATCATAGCAAATCAATGAACAGCATAACATGCCATGTTAAATATCATCTTATCTTATCTTTCTATAGCATAGCATATATCGTATCATATCATATCATATCATATCATATCATATCATACCATATCATACCATATCATATCATATCATACCATATCATATCATATCATACCATATATCATATCATATCATATCATATCATATCATATCATATCATATCATATCATATCATATCATATCATACCATACCATATCATATCATATCATATCATACCATATCATATCATATCATATCATATCATATATCATATCATATCATATCATATCATATCATATCATTTATCACATCAAATAGTTTGGCACATGTGGACACTTTTTACAATTTTTTCTACTTCAAAAAATAAATAATTCAATAAATTATATACTAATATAATAAGAGACCAGAGGTACCTTAGAAATATATGGTCATCCCTAGCTGTCTCCAGGGAGGTCATCAAAATAAAGATATTATACTAATTAAGAGACCAGAGGTACATTTAGAAATATATGGTCATCCCTAGCTGTCTGCAGGGAGGTCATCAAAATAAAGATTAACTAATACAATAAGAGACCAGAGATACCTTAGAAATATACGGTCATCTTGAGCTATCTACAGGAAGGCCACAAAATAAAGATATTATACTAATACAACACGAGACCAGAGGTACCTTAGATATATATGGTCATCCCGAGCTGTCTGCAGGGAGGCCAGCCACCACGAGGACAACAAGACCACCAGGATGACCGCTGGCTGGACAATAATGACCACTCGGTATGATGGCATACTCTTCATTATCACACTCTCCGTCTGTAAACTCCCTGGTTTGAAATTGTTGTTTTTTTACTGCAAAGTTCTAATCCAATATCTCCATGAATATGATACCTTTTTTAAAATTCTGTTCTCAATCCATGAAGGAGGGTTTTAACACACCAGAACAAAAATAAAATGCCACTTCCTGAATATTAAGAGACTTCTTTACCATCTGAGCTGCTAGCTGGCTGACAGATTGGTCCAATCCACCGACCTAGGCAGAGTGAAATGCACAGGCTATAAGTCAACATTTTTTATTTGACCAATACAAAACAACAGGGCCAAGTGTTTGTGCTCTCTATTTCATGTGTTGTGGTCAGTAGGACAGAGGGACTGACCTGGGGTCAGAGGTTAAATGTCACAGTAACCTACAGGCTACTGTTATGTCATATAGAGGTCAGAAGACAGCATGGGTCACTTATAACTGCCACATTCAGTCAATAAGAACCCTGTCTGGCCAGTGAGCTAACACACATGGTAAATAGTCAATACAGTGTTCTCCCTGGCTGCTCAATTGTAGTAACACATAGTAAACAGTCAGAGGATAATAAAAACAATGTTTCTGGCTGGACATTAATAACCACTGGTAGTGTTCATAGGCCATCAGTCACCAGCTAGCACACACCCCTGATCACCTTTTAGGTCTAAAACAAGCCATTTTCACAGCTTAAATGAAACATAAAATTTATCATAATTTTTTTAACCATCACAGACTATAATTATGGTTACTTTCTGTCCATCTGAATGATCAATTTCCTTGCTGAGATGATACTGAAATAACTGTCACAGAATTCATTAGATCCTCTATTTCCGATGTGTTTATATATCGTCACTTCATGTGATATATCAATGATATATGTGGAATAATTATTCCATATACATTCATATTCATTATATCCATGTTCCATCCATACTGCACTTCATTCACTGCCGTGTCGACAGATGTCCAAGGTATGACACACTCCCTGTGATCCTGGCAAGGTGTTAGCCCAGTCCTGGCAAGTTGTTAGCCCAGTCCTGGCAAGGTGTTAGCCCAGCCCTGGCAAGATGTTAGCCCAGCCCTGGCAAAGTGTTAGCCCAGCCCTGGCAAGGTGTTAGCCCAGCCCTGGCAAGGTGTTAGCCCAGCCCTAGCAAAGTGTTAGCCCAGCCCTGGCAAGGTGTTAGCCCAGCCCTGGCAAAGAGTTAGCCTATACCAATATTTTTATCCTCCATATCATAACTGTACCACTTCCCTAAATCTTCAACACATAAAGCACATGATCAACTAAACAGGGAACAGAAGTAGCAGCTCTTGTTCTGATGACTCTGTATTTCTCAGTACAGTGCTAGTAATTATCCTTGGCTTCTCCTTAAATCAGAGTGACAAACAACTTAGCAATGTTTGCAGACCAAGATTACAACATAAAGGCTTCCTCTACCAACATGTTATCATTACAAACATAACGATATGTTGATCAAAATCAATGTTTTCAAAGGATTCATCACGAATATGATACACTGCACTTCAATTTTATTGTCACGCAGCACAGTTAGTGACAACATGTCTCTCTCACGTGTATTGACAACGGCTTCAAGATATGTCTCTGAACATGAAAACAGTATCTTCTATTTCTTTTACTGTCAATACATGGATTCTTCGGCAGCCTTTATCAATGAGATATAATATGACACTGTACGTGTCTCTATGTCATCACAACTACATCACAGAATACATGGCTGACAATGATCACAGCAGTAGACCTCTGTGTATAGAACATCTCCCTCCAGTAGCATGGCAACTAATCTTCTGAGCAGACTATAGCAGAGAGGAAATCTGACAAAACACTTCAGAAATTGACAAAAATAGTTCAAGTTGTCAAGATTATTGTGACATCCATCTCTATACAACTCAGTCAGTGTCAAAACTGCAGTTTTATATCTCTATATATGTACATCTCAGTCTGTGTCAAAACTACAGAGCTCTATATCTCTATATATTATATATGTACACTTCAGTTAGTATCAAACCTGCATAGCGCTATATCTCTATATCTACATCTCAGTCATAGACCTGCGTAGCAGCAGTCTTATAACTCTGTGGTACCCGCTGTTTCTTCATTCATAACTTATCAACATGGTGGTTGTGACAAACTGCCACGTCATGTTAAAACAGTACAGACTGTTAAATAGATATCATTATTTACAACCATCAGATGTGCAAACACATTTATGGTATTCATCAGCATTAATTGACCTGTATCAGCAGGCTGTTTTAATGTGGGTGGTTAAATGTGTTCTATTAACAGTTATGAATGATCTAGAGTGTCTCCTATAGCACTTACTTCATGATCTATGTACTAGTAACCAGACTTGTATAGGGTTGAGTATATGACATTATTTAAAAAAAAAATTGAAACCACAATACTGTTTATATTATTACTACTGGCATATTTTTTTCACTACAAACATCAGAAAAATTTATAAATACTAGTTATAGCAAGCCTAGACCAGAAAATATCCAGAATAACCATTTTGCTTTCACATGATTTGTATTTTGATACTGCATTTACCCATCATGGGGATGGTAGTAATAATCACTAAAATCCTTCAACATTAGAAAGTAAATTGTTCTCTACATAAGATATGAAATATAAGAAAGCATCATTTAACATGCTGTTCTCTTATCATCATGGTTGATTTAACCTTTATCAAATATTGACTTTTCCACTGTTTACACACACACTTCCTGTCCTATTTACAACATCATTTTCCTTTTACACACACATCTAGTGGTCTTTTTCAACTAATTTAATTTTGGAAAATATTAAACACAAAAATTTAATTTGCAGGATTATTTTCTTACTTCAAAGACACACTTCCCTCTAAAAAGGAAAATTGACCCAGTTATGTTCTGCTATCAGCCAGTCAAACTTTTCCCCAGCAGATTAAAGTTAGTGATTAAATAACATTATCACCAGTAAAACACTGCTCTGCTGCTGGGCTAGAATGGAATCACTTTAACTCACTTCAACATCGTCACTAAAAATAACTGTGTTATCTTGTAAAATGCCAGCACTGTCCTCTAGCAAGTTTACCAATTGATACATAATAGCATACAATTTCTGTAAGTTACTCAATAATAATTATAAACAAAAAATTAAATCTAAAGATGTCATTTAAACATAAACAACTCTCAAACAGGTGATTTTTCTTAATATGTTTCAAGCACTAATTAAGTTTTCATCCTAGTCTTGGGATAAGGCTTGTCCTGACATCTGAACAGGTAGCATGGGGCAATACAAACACACACTGTGCTGATATCTTTTCACTAATTACTCACAGATATATGACACACTTTAAGATAATAATTTAATATTTAAAACTGTCCCAGACCAAAGTATATCATCTGGTACCATCTCTAAACAAGAACATATTTCACCTAAACTTGACACATACTGGAAGGGATGTTGTTATGTTAGAATGGGATATTAACCAATAACTTCAGCCTTTTAGTCTAATACAGTCAAAACAAAGCTGTGCCAATAAACTGAAGTAAAATGAAATATCACAGAATGATGATGAGTTCTTCGAACTCATGCAAGACAAATCATATCCACAGCCCTCAGTTTATAGGACACCTTACTAGTACTAGTATGTCTTTATCACTTTACTTCTAAACTAGAATTAGTTCAACTATAAGCTACATGTCCAAGTACAAATCACTGTCTGAAATGGAAGGTTAATGTTACAGACCCAGTTATCTGATATAGTTCAGGGTCTATCCAGCCTTGATGAAACCAGGCCCAGGTGTGTATTATGTGTAACCATTCACTTGTCAAAAATATAAATAAGACACAGGCTTCCATTAGAACAACAAACTGAGAGTCATTAAGGATTATATAATTATAGAACTACATTTAGGAGTTCATGTACAGTAAGTTACTCTGCTAGTTTTCATTAAAAAATACATAGGAAGAGCCCCCCCCCCCCCCCACACACACACACCACACATGTCAGTGTCCCGATATGTACCCTTTCATCCTCTGTTTATATGTCAATAAGCAGAGGGAGAGATAACAATGTCAACTACCTGTTTATTTTATGATATCAGTGACAAAGGTGACCAAACTCTAAACACTGAAGACAATATCAAAGACCTTAAAATGACCCCTTCAGTACAGTGACTATCCTGGGTAATATAACAACTGACCAGCACAGACTATATCAGGGTCTACAGAATGACCCCTTCAGTACATTGACTATCCTGGGTAATATAACAACTGACCAGCACAGACTATATCAGGGTCTACAGAATGACCCCTTCAGTACAGTGACTATCCTGGGTAATATAACAACTGACCAGCACAGATTATATCAGGGTCTACAGAATGACCCCTTCAGTACAGTGACTATCCTGGGTAATATAACAACTGACCAGCACAGACTATATCAGGGTCTACAGAATGACCCCTTCAGTACAGTGACTATCCTGGGTAATATAACAACTGACCAGCACAGACTATATCAGGGTCTACAGAATGACCCCTTCAGTACAGTGACTATCCTGGGTAATATAACAACTGACCAGCACAGACTATATCAGGGTCTACAGAATGACCCCTTCAGTACAGTGACTATCCTGGGTAATATAACAACTGACCAGCACAGACTATATCAGGGTCTACAGAATGACCCCTTCAGTACAGTGACTATCCTGGGTAATATAACAACTGACCAGCACAGACTATATCAGGGTCTACAGAATGACCCCTTCAGTACAGTGACTATCCTGGGTAATATAACAACTGACCAGCACAGACTATATCAGGGTCTACAGAATGACCCCTTCAGTACAGTGACTATCCTGGGTAATATAACAACTGACCAGCACAGACTATATCAGGGTCTACAGAATGACCCCTTCAGTACAGTGACTATCCTGGGTAATATAACAACTGACCAGCACAGACTATATCAGGGTCTACAGAATGACCCCTTCAGTACAGTGACTATCCTGGGTAATATAACAACTGACCAGCACAGACTATATCAGGGTCTACAGAATGACCCCTTCAGTACAGTGACTATCCTGGGTAATATAACAACTGACCAGCACAGACTATATCAGGGTCTACAGAATGACCCCTTCAGTACAGTGACTATCCTGGGTAATATAACAACTGACCAGCACAGACTATATCAGGGTCTACAGAATGACCCCTTCAGTACAGTGACTATCCTGGGTAATATAACAACTGACCAGCACAGACTATATCAGGGTCTACAGAATGACCCCTTCAGTACAGTGACTATCCTGGGTAATATAACAACTGACCAGCACAGACTATATCAGGGTCTACAGAATGACCCCTTCAGTACAGTGACTATCCTGGGTAATATAACAACTGACCAGCACAGACTATATCAGGGTCTACAGAATGACCCCTTCAGTACAGTGACTATCCTGGGTAATATAACAACTGACCAGCACAGACTATATCAGGGTCTACAGAATGACCCCTTCAGTACAGTGACTATCCTGGGTAATATAACAACTGACCAGCACAGACTATATCAGGGTCTACAGAATGACCCCTTCAGTACAGTGACTATCCTGGGTAATATAACAACTGACCAGCACAGACTATATCAGGGTCTACAGAATGACCCCTTCAGTACAGTGACTATCCTGGGTAATATAACAACTGACCAGCACAGACTATATCAGGGTCTACAGAATGACCCCTTCAGTACAGTGACTATCCTGGGTAATATAACAACTGACCAGCACAGACTATATCAGGGTCTACAGAATGACCCCTTCAGTACAGTGACTATCCTGGGTAATATAACAACTGACCAGCACAGACTATATCAGGGTCTACAGAATGACCCCTTCAGTACAGTGACTATCCTGGGTAATATAACAACTGACCAGCACAGACTATATCAGGGTCTACAGAATGACCCCTTCAGTACAGTGACTATCCTGGGTAATATAACAACTGACCAGCACAGACTATATCAGGGTCTACAGAATGACCCNTTTTGTTGTGTGTTACTGTTGGTAGTATCTTCAGGAACATGGATCACTGTTTCTGGTGTCACTGTTGTTGTCTCTCCAGTGGATGTCTTTCTGCCACTTGTCTCAGCCTCAACAGGGTGAGAGGATGTCATCTCATCTCCAGGTGTCTCGTCCCTGGGTGTCTCACCCCTGGGTGTCTTACCCTCAAGTCTCTCACCCCTGGGTGTCTTACCCTCAGGACTCTCACCCCTGGGTGTCTTACCCTCAGGACTCTCAACCCCGGATGTCTTACCCTCAGGTGTCTCACCCCTAGATGTCCCACCCCCAGCTGTCTCATCCCTGGGTGCCTCAGTACTAGCCCCTGCAGAGACATCTGATGCCATCTCATTGATATTCACCTGATGCACCTATTGACGTATTAAAATGTCAAGTTACTTTAACCAGTTTATCACGGTTTTATAAAAAGTTATGCAGTAAAACATAAAGCTGGTCAAACCACATATTTTTATACTGAATGACTTTCATATAAGTCTGCCTACTTCTTTGAAAGATAAACATACAGAGGAAATACAATTTCTGCTTACTTTGGTATCAGGCTCAGCTAAATGTGGTAACTGCAAGACACTGAAAAGAATAACAATAATGAATAATAGTAAGAAGAAGAAGCCGAAAGGTGATCACGTTTTGTACAGGATGAGGCCACAATTACAAAGCTCCAAGGCTGCATGAAGTACAGAGTGTCACCTGCTTGATACAGTGACCCAAGTGCTCACACACTTATGAATGTTACCAGCCAGATATATGGACTTGGAGTTTATTAGCTAGTCGTATACCCGAAACTAACAGTGTGAAATTTTGTCTTCTTCAGTCGTGTTAGAGTTGTTTTAAATCCAGAGCAGTCTCTGTGATACTATTCGTTTACAGCTTTCACACAAATATGTATGCAATATGTCTAGCGACATGTGGTAGATGAGAAACACGTGTAGAAATAATTACAACAACGTGTTCCTAGAGTGATGTCATCGCTACTAGGGAAATGCCATTAATATATTTACTACCAATTAGGACTATTGTGCTTGTATTATCAATTGCTTTCAATCTTCTTTTCTACTCACCAAAACATTGCCAGGTGTATCCACTTCACGTGTCTTGCTCTTTTCATTTTTATTCTCTACTTGTTTCTCCTTTTGCAAATTTTTTTACATAAAGCTTCTTCCCCTCGTAAGTGAAATGTGGAAGTCGCCATTGGTGTTTTCAATTTGGAATGACGTGTACTGCGCATGCTTAGATCAAAGATTATTTTCCAATCGAGGCTTGGAATTCCCTTCCTGTTTCGAAGAAGGGCAACCCCACTGAAGTCGTTTGAAGACGTTAGTTAGTCTAACTTTAAGACATGAAGCTAATTATGGTGGAAAAATGTTTATTTCATGCCTTGCTAGGGGAAATCCTTGTTTAATGTAAAGAAGGTTTCAGCTCGTTCAGTAATAAAAATTAAAAACTAAGAACCCTTTAGATATATTTTCTATGTTATTGATACTAACTGTTCTAACAAAATTAGACTGAGCGAAAGCGGCATAACGAAATTCACGTTTATTTTACTGAAACATTTTGTCCTCAACCTAGAGTATATTTTTCACAATGCCTGATAACGAATATTTTACAAATGACTTTCTAAAATGATTCAGTTTTGCTGTTTTTCCTGTAAAAACATTAACTTTGACCTGTCGCCATATCGTCTACAGTAGCTAATCATGGATATAAATGAATTTAAGATCTTATTAATGCCTTAAATATTACAAATAAGTCCAATAACTTATAATGATGACTCGCGCCAAAAGACGTAACGAAAGTTTTTTTTCAATTTTTTAAAAACCCGGCGACACAGCGAAAGTAGCCTCAAGCTATTTATTGAGTTATTTAAATAAACATTCTAGACATTAACTGGGGCATTATACATCTTACTGTCTTCCTGACAAGTTGCAGATGTTCTACTTTTGTAAAAAAATAAACTAGATCGATCGTTATGTTATTGATAAATCATGTTTGATAACTCTGCAGGTACGCTGGCTATGCAAACTAGCGAAACATCGAATTCGAATTGTGATTGCGTTTGCGGTTCACCGACCTGGCGAAAGGTTAATACATGCACAGTCTACATTTGATAATTGTACAAAAGTTTTAATTGAAAAAAACTTTTTATAAATACCGAATAATCGAAAAGCTGTGTAAAGCGTAACGAGAAGCAAATGTAGAAAGAGCTGTACCGTGTCTATAGTCATAGTCTATAGTTTATAGTCATGCGGGAAAGCAAGGAAAGCAAATCATGGTAGGATACATCTCTATAAACTCCAAATTTTTTCAGACATTAAAATTGATGGTTTAGCATTAATTTCAATATTACTCTACCTGCCATAGCACATATATATAGCACAAGTGCTGAGGTTTTATTTCAGGACATTTGGCTGCGAACTTTTACAAAATGAAAACCGACGGGAATATACATATACATATAGGTTGAGGAGACGAGTAGAATTCGTTAATTCAGTGATAAATTAATTCTTATAATACATTGTCGGGTTGTAGTATAAGAGTTGTAGTATTAATAATACAAAACTTAGAGTCATTTTGGTCAAATTTCGTGAAGTCAGGAATCTGATGCGTGTTGCTCGTTTGGTAATGAGATGGAAAACGCCATTTGAACCCTGAAGTGTGTTTATGTGCGAGAAATTGAATACCAATTAAACTTGAGTTGTTTATCAATTTTAATACTGAAATGATATACCATTTCCTTCTCAAAAATTACCCTCACAAATTTGCCGCATAGAACGCGTTCAAATGAAGTGTATTTATGTCCGTTTTGTCAGGGGACTACTATGCGTTTCCACAAAAATCTTTGGTTTTCACCGTGTGACTTAGTAGATTCTGTCTTACATAATATTACATAGACGACTTCTCTATCGAATAAACGTGCACCAAACTTCAAATATGTGATAAGGAAGGACTAGCGGTAAAGCTGTATTAGCTATTACGAAAGATACCTCTGCAGCAATCTGTGCAATGTGGATGAATATTTTCTTAGGCGGCCCCAATTTCCATTGTTTTTTTGTTCGAAATATGACAAAAAGGATGAAACACGGAACTTAATTACGTGACCAAAACATCAGTAAATGAGGTCATGTGTCAAACAGTGTTTTCTTTGTTAAGTCTGAACATTTTAGCATATCTCAGTTAAAAGAATCACTAATTACTAAATTCTCGCTCACACACATATCTTGATATAAGTTGATATATCCTGGCGTTCCTCACACCAAACATTCCAGGTATGTGTAAGTAATAGATGAAAGCAGGAGATGCAAATAAGTTATTTATTCCACAGCTTGATTAGCTTGTTTTAACAAGCATCAATTGCTTACAATCACAATTTATAATAATAATAAGTTAATCTGAATGTTAATAAAAATCATCAAAACAACAAAAATGATTGTTCACACACACATTGCAGGTGACCCCGTTGACCAGTTAGTAAAAAAAGTAACACTAGACACCTCTACAACTGTTCTCTCTACACTACAAGTATATACACATATACAGTCATATATAGTACAGCAGGATTTGTTAGTGACATCTGACATCTCATTGTGGACATTGTATGTGGTAGTTATCCCACAGCACTGACAACATGACAGAGGCCTACAGGGAGTTTAGAAAAACACTTGCTAAGTTTAAACTATTGGCTTTCCCCATCAATGAGACACAAGCACTGGCTAGTTGGTGAACTATGTTAACCTCTGCCTAGCTCATGCAAACAAATACTAGCTGAAAGCACACAATGTAATGAGTAAATGATCAAAAGTTAATTATCAAGCCAACTAGAGCTACTCGCAAACTATGGACATAATGTGCACTTATAAAGATGCACCAACACATGGAATATCACCAATTTTTTTTTTTTTTTTCAATTATTTCCAACCACCTGCTTTAATATCAAAATCTGCTGAACTCTGAAAATCCACAACTCACCCTCAGGGAAAAAGACAAAATAACCATAAAGCTTATCAATTTGGCAAAGGAATCAATATTAATGAATGGCAGAAATTACCTATTACATAATAATTGATAAAATTTTAACAGTTCCTATAAATTAAACTATCTGAAGTTTCTGTTAACACTTAAAAGGTTGACAAAACAGTTACAGAAACAGCAACATTAAGCACTACCATATTATATAACAAAAGTAAAATTATTAATGAAATCCTTCTGTTGTCAGCTGACAACTACAGTACTAACAGTTGTGACATCATTAGACAAATATATAGCACAAAATTATAAGTAAGTCTTTGCACGAGACAATTTAGTTTTAACCAAAGCAAATTATAAATTAAGATAAATAAATATATATACTCTAACCTGGACTTATAGTAAAGCCCCCATCTATTTGTGGTGGCTTTCAGTAAATCTTTCCTCTGCTGTTTTTTAAACATTGCTTGAGGACTTGAGAACATGTTCACATGATGTTAACTACTGACCCTGTTGTTACATAGTTATGTTGGAGACAACACTCTGGCAATACAAATGCTGGCATTGTTTCAAGAAATAAGAATATAAATGATCTTTAATTTATACATTGTACATAAATTTTTTAATTGAGCTTAGCTGTACATGTACATGTGTAACTAAATCAAATAAAGCAAAATAATATTCTAACTTAATATCATAAGATTTTAAATGAAATATAAAGAAGATGAAAAACTGGAAGCCAGCAACAACATTCAAAATTCAGAAATCATGTTGGAAAGATAAATATGTCTTGGTAAGTTTGCAATGAGAGCTGAAATTATAATAAACCTGAATGAAGAAGAAATCAATGTCCACTTTTGACTTGGAAGAACCAATGTGTCATGGCAACAAATGATCCAAAATATGACATCACTATTGCACACTACACTTAGAAGAACAACATCTGATCCTCAACCCGTAGTATAATATATGATTTACAGGTACCCACTAGAGATTTTCATGTCTAGAACGCTAGAGTGGCTGGAGAAGAGACGAAACTGCCTCCTTGGACAAAAGTCTTAGAACAGAGATCCCTAGTACACTGACATATTGTCTGATAGACTATATTTAGACTCTGGCTGGAAATGAGACAAAACTGCCTCCTTCGACAAAAGTCATAAAACAAAGATCCCAAGCATGCTGGTATATTGTCTGATAGACTATATTTTGACTCTGAGAATTAGGTATTTAATAAGACAAACAGTGAACCACAAATAACATCTGAGCACCTTTCTGTTGTTGACTATGGTCCAAATCAGCTGTACAGAGACTTCAGACTACATGATAAAGCATAGGGGATGACATTCCCAATGAAGACCAGCTGTGCAGACACCTCAGACTACATGATGGATAAAATATTCACACTGAAGACTAGTGGCTTTGTATGTGTCAACTTCTCCAAACCCAGCCTGGGAGGTCCCTGCTAGTACTGTAATAGTAGTTGTGCATAACGTCAGTGTAATGCTGAGTAATTTAAGTTTACCATCTCCCTGTCTTTTACTGGAATGACTACAGACTATATCCTTGACTACAGACTATAGCCTTCACCTCAGCCATGTCCTTGTGTAACCCACACTCTGCTGGCATGACCTAGCTGCGGC